CCAACCCGCAGCCCCGGCTCCCCCCAGCTCTGCCAGTGCCCCTCACTCCCGACCCGCAGCCCCGGCTCCCCCCAGCTCTGCCGGTGCCCCTCACTCCCGCCCCGCAGCACCGGTGCTCCCACGAGCACAGTGCGGGCAGCGGTGCCAGGCTGGCCTGCCATTTCCACGGCAGCGAGCAGAGCACAGACCGCCGAGGTTTCCCAGCTCGGACTCCCTGGGCCCGGGGTTCTCAGGCCAGGAGTCTCCAGCTCCAGGCGCGACAGGCCGCAAGCCGCACCTTGGGCTCCCCGCAGTGGCTGGCACAGCCCGGCCCCGGACTCACCAGGATGGTGCGCTGCAGGCTGGAGTCCACCCGCCGGAAGAGGAGCCTGCCCACCAGGCTGGCGATGGTAGGAAACACCAGGGCCCCGCACAGCGAGCGCGAGAGGGACGTGTGGTCGCTCTGGGGGCGGGACTCAGCCAGCGGCCCCGGGGCCACCGGGCGCCCAATCCCTGGGGAAATGGGAAGGAAGGGGAAACTGAGGCAGCGATTGGTCACTGCCACCTGGCCAGGGGGCTCAGACCTGAACCGCTCCCCACACCACCCGCCTCTGCCCCAGTGTCTGTCCCCCACCCCCCCCAGCGCTCTGCCTCTCGTCACGGTCTCTCCTCCCCCGGCCAGGCCACCCGCTGATGGCGCTACTGCCCAGCTTCCCCTCCCCCCACAGCTCTGCCCCCTTCGCTGCCAGCCCGCCCCTGTCTTGGCTCACTGGCAACCGTGCCCACCCCGCACCAACCTGCCCACCCACCGGCCCCACCCAGGGCAGCCCCAGAGCAGCCCCAGGCCATCCCCGCCAACCCGCCCGCCCCCGGCGGCGATGCCCCGCACCTGGCACCAGGGCCTGCAGGGCCTGCAGCTTGCTGGCGTACTTCCGCCAAACGCGCAGCACGTAGTCCTCCCAGCGGATCAGCCTGCCCAGCACCAGCATGACGGGGATGGTGGGCAGCCCCATGAGCAGGAAGAGGGGGTCCGCCCGCTCCATCACATCCAGCCCCTTCTTATGGCCAACCACCTGCAGCCGGGGGAGGAGGCAGCTCAGAGCCCACGCCGAGAGCGGGGCTCCCCGTGCTGGCTGGGCCGGCCGCACCCCGGGGCATGGGCCCTCTCAGGCTGGGGTCACAGGGCAATTCCCAGCAGTGCCAGCTTCCTCCATGGCCCCAGCCGTGCCCTGCCGCAGCCAGCCTGGCACCCGGCAGCTCCCACTGGAGCAGTCACCCCATTGCCTCTGTTGCGGAGCCTGGCGGAAGCAGCAGCCCTGGCTCAGCTCGGGCCCCCTTCGGGGCCCCCCCCAACACGTTACCTGCATCACCGTGACGGCCCCATAGGTGACAGCCGACCAGTACACCGTTCCCACCACGATGCCGGCCATGGCGAAGGGGCTGGCTCTGGACAGGATCCGGTCTGCCTGGTGGAGGAAATAGACCAGGGGCCCTGCAGGGAGATCAGAAACTCAGGCCACGCCATGTACACCCCCCTGTGTTCCCTGGCCCAGCCGGCCACGGGGGAGACTCCAGCAGGCCCCCACCCGCTCACGGGCAGGATCCCAGGGCTCTCAGCCTTTCCCCCCAGGCCAGGAATTTCCCCGGCCCATTTCACAGGCTAGTGGGTGGAGCACAAGGTCAGGAGCCAGGGACATGCCAGGGCAGGGCACTGCGCCAACCTCTGTGCTCCAGGCAAAGCCTCCCCAGACCCCTCCACTCTGCCCCGCATTGACCCCATCGACCCCGCGCTCCCAGGCAAAGCAAGGCCCGGACGGGCCCCGCCGGGCTCACCCAGCTTGGGGAAGACGATGCGGTATTCGGTGCCGCACTGCGGGCAGCTCACGCTGCCCGTGCTGTTGCCCTTCTGCTTCTCGTCCAGCCAGCGCTGCAGGCAGGCCTGGTGGATCCATTTGGTGGAGCCTTTGCAGCGGCAGGGGCAGACCCACTCGGCGGCCCGGTCCTCGCGCTCCGTGGCGAAGCAGACCCAGCAGTGCCTGGAGAGCAGAGAGCCCGTCAGGGCCCCGGGCGCCCCCGGGCACCGCAGTGCCGCGCGGGTGGCAGGGCCGAACTCTGGGCCCCCCCACCCCAGGCAGGGGGATCCCTAGGGGACCCAGCGCCCCTGAACTGCCGGGTCCCCTGCCCCAGCACCCTTCTCCAGTCCCACCCCCATCCGGATCCCGTCCCCCCTCCGGGCCCAGGCTCAGCGCAGGGCCGCCGGGACCCAGCCGCCTCCCAAGCGCCCCCAGAGCCAGGCCAAAGAGGGAGGCGGCGGGAGGGGAAACCCGCGGGGCGTTCCCGGGGGGAGGGGTTTGGGCTTGGCTCCGGCCCGGGAGAGAGGGGGGGCGTTCGGGCCGGGGGTAGGGGGGTTCGGCCCGGGGGGGGTTCGGGTCGGCTCCGGCCCGGGGGTAGGGGGGGTTCGGACCGGGGGATTCGGTTCGGCTCCGGCCCGGGGGTTCGGCCCGGGGGGAGAGGGGGGGTTCGGCCCGGGGGGGTTCGGGTCGGCTCCGGCCCGGGGGTTCGGCCCGGGGGGAGAGGGGGGGTTCGGACCGGGGGATTCGGTTCGGCTCCGGCCCGGGGGCGTTCGGGCCGGGGGGGGTCGGCTCGGCTCCGGCCCGGGGGGATGGGGGGGGGTTCGGGCCGGGGACCCCCCCAGCGCTCACCTCTCCTCGGCCGGCTCGGCCATGGCGGGCGGGCCGGTCACACCCCCGGGCGGCCCCGGGGCCCGGCCATCGCCGGCCCCCGCGAGCGAGCGCGTAGCCAGCCGCGATCCGCGGGGCGCGGCCCCTGCGCCGAGCTTGGCTGGGTCGGGTCCGGGTCCCGGTCCCGGCTCCGGTTCTGGCTCCCCCCGGCCGCTCCGCTGCGCCTCGCTCCGCTCCCGGCCCTGGCGGAGCTTGGCCCGGCCCTGGGGCGGTTCCGCAGCCTTGAGCCCGCCCCGCAGACCCAGGGCCCGGCGCTGCCTGGTCGTGAACAGGCCCAGGGGTGCGGAGCCCAGTCCCGGGTCCGGCCCGGGCAGGGCGCGCACAGCCCCGCCCGTCTAGAGGCCCCCAGTAGGAGGGTTAATCGCAGCTGGCTCTTCTGTGGGTGCCATCATACAGCTCTCCTCGGTCAGCAGCTTTATGCCCATTTTGCAGATGGGGAAACTGAGGCACGAAGAGGGCTACGATTTGACCATGGGCACACAGCAGGCCAGGTGGCAGAGTTTGGCCCGGAAGCCTGCGCTCCCCAGGCCCAGCTCAGTGCACTATCCCTTAGGCTACACTGCCCCTAAAGTGCCAGGTTTGTGCCAGGGAGGCCCGTCCTGGCTGGAATGGCACCTGGCGCAAACATCGCCTGTTTGTATCACCGGCTGAAAGCAACATGGGGCTTGATGGCAAAAACCGCCATGGACTTCCCTTGGAGCCCATGCACCCGGTCCAGGCCTTTCGCACCTAAAACTTCTGCAGCCACATCCCAAGCCTGCATTACACCACGATCCCACCCATCGGTGCTCAATTTCTGGGCCCGCTATGAACACCACCCACGGCTTGAACTGTTTCTCACAACATCCCCCGCAAACAGTCCTGGAAGACAGCGTCACGGCTCCCATTAGTGCGGGACGTCCTGTGGGTCTGCAAAGCCAGAAGTGAGCATCCAGGGTTTCCCAAGGCTAGCAAAGTCTTCTGTCGAGATGGCGGACAGCGAGATGTGCCACGCAGGTTTGCGGGATTTCTAAAAAAAGTGCAAAAACTATGAGCTCTGGATGGCATTATGGGATGGAGAAAGGTGTGCTGGAAACTTGATCCTGAGTTCCCAGAGATTCCTTTCTATCCCATGACACTTTGAAAGACTTTCCCAGGTTAGGCCCCGATCCTGAGAACTTGGAGGAGCTTGCAGGACTGAGGCCTTCCTGTGAAACTACCATGGACCTCCCAGGCCATCAGCGCTGCAGCCTCTCGGGGCATCCAGTGATCTCTTGCTCCAGGAAGGAGGACATGCAAGTCTGGGATGAGGAATCAGAAGAGAAATGATCGAAGAGACACGAGGTCCCATCCCCCCAGGACCAGCACAGGAAAGTTCTCTGCTGTCTACACTCTAGGATTAATCCTCACCTATGGACCCGCCTAGAAAATAAACAGACCCAGCTGGTGTTTCCAGGCTTTGCCCTTTCGCTGAAGGTATTAGAACAGTAGCTTATATTTCTATATTGTGTTCCAACCGATATACTGAAATGCAGCCACCTCTAGAGTGGAACACAACAGACGTTTAACAGAGCACAGGAACACCACAGAGTTGTTGGGGTCAGGCGGTGAAGAGGTGTAGGGCCTTGCTTTGCTCAGCCAGTTACTAGAATTGGTTTGTCTCGCTGTGGTGCCCAGGCGTGGCCGGGTACAGGCATGGAGCAGGACCCCGTCATGCCAGGGGCTGTACAAATATGGAACAGAAAGGCTCCCTGATGTGCGGGGAGGTGGAGTCAGAGGGGACCATCATGATCATCCAGTCGGACCCCCTGCCCCTGGCAGGCCACGGCCCCTCCCCCACCTCCTGCCATGGGGATCCGGCCATTAGCCCATGCACCCCGCGAGCCGGGCACAGACCCCGGGCCCAGCTCAGGACCCTGACCCTGACCCTGACCCGATACCCACAATGCAACGGGACAGCGGCTCCTGCCACCCAGGGGTGGGTGTAGGCGGGGAAGAGGTGGAGGGGGGGTGGGTCGCACATGCGCAAACGCCTCCGCGCTCTCCCCCTTCCCCACTCTCCAAGCCGGCGGGGAGGGGCGGGAACCGCGCACTGGCCCCTTAAGAGCGGGGCCATGACGTCACCCTCCCGACGCCGGGCAACCAGGCTTGATGCGGAAGGCCCGCCCCCGCCGCCGCGTCCCATTGGACGGCTGTCAAACCTGTCGCCCCGCCTCTCCCGCGGTCTGCTTCGGCTTCCGCCTGTCACTGGGGCCCAAGAGAGGCGCTGATTGGCTGCGCGGGGTCCCGCCCCTTGCGCGGCTCCCGAGGGCCGGTTTGGTTGCGCAGGGTGGGTGGTTGCGGGGCTGCAGCGTCGAGTGACTGAGCCGAGCCCGGAGCCGCGTCCCCCGCCCGGCGGCCCCGCCCCGCCCCGCCCCGGCCCGGCCCGGCCCCGCCATGGAGTCCTACGACATCATCGCCAACCAGCCCGTGGTCATCGACAACGTGAGCCCGGGGGGGGGGGGCAGCCTGGGGGGGGCTTGCGAGTGACCTGGGGGCCCCGGGGGGCAGGGCCGGGGGGTGGAGCGGGGAGGGGCAGGGCCGGGGGGGGTCAGGGCCGGGGGGGTGGAGCGGGGAGGGGCAGGGCCGGGGGGGGTCAGGGCCGGGGGGGTGGAGTGGGGAGGGGCAGGGCCGGGGGGGTCAGGGCCGGGGGGTGGAGCGGGGAGGGGCAGGGCCGGGGGGGTCAGGCCCTGGGGGTGGGGCAGTGCCGGGGGGGGTCGCTGGGGCACGATGCGGGAGGACTGGGAGGCTCTGAGCATGTCTGGACCCCCCCCCCCGGGCCCTGCCCCATCGGACGCGCCCCGCCCCGCCCCGCCGGCTGTGGACTCGCAGGGTCTCTGGGGCAGGGACTGTGGATGGGGGAGGGGCCTGGTGTGGCTGCGCTGGAAGGGGCTCGGGGGGGTTCCCCAGCGCGGGGAGCGCCAGGCGGCTGCGACCCAGCTGGCCCCACCTGAAGCCCCTGGTGTTAACGACTCTCCTGCCGCTCTCCGGTCTGCGCCGGCAGCACGTTGATGGCCCGACCCCTGTCGCGTACAGCGCCTTGCACGGAAAGGCCTGGCCGTGTCGCCGCTCAGACCCCAGAGCAAAATGCAGCTTCTGCCCTACAGACTCACCAAGGCCTTGGTGCAGGGCTCACTACACAGGAGGCCCCATCGCCTCCCCCAGGCCGCACCCCTGCTTGCCTCTCGAAATACCCCATTCCACAGATCTCTAGGAGCCCCTCAGCCACAGCCGGGGGCCAGGGCTTTCTGCCCACGCTGCTCCCCCTGGCCTCCCGAAGCATTCAGCCTCTGGTTGGGGGACGGGGAGCTTGCCCTGTGGCAGTGTAACACCCTCCTCCCTGTCCTGTCAAGCCTCGGGGCCATTTCTTCTTGCTGCTGAATAGTTGATTACGCTGAGCTAACTTTTCCGTCCAGTTCTCTCACTTCAGTGTGGCGGGTCCCTTGGCTTAGAACCATCCTCTCTTTTTGAATGGCCTCTGCTTTCCTGCTGCGAGCAGCTCTTTGCTGTGTGCGGCTCCCCAGGGCCGCACCGGGTCAGAGTCTGTGGCGCGTTTCAGTTGCGGAATTTGGCGAGAGAAATCTGGCCAGGCTTTCGGAGCAGCAAGCACTGATGTGTCCTCGCTTCGGAGTCTGTGGGCCACTGGATCTGCAGCTCTGGAGACCCAGCTGCACGCTGCCTTGGAGAAGCTGTCATTTGATCTTCTGCCTCTGTGGATCCCAATGCTCTGGGTTACAATGCATCGGGTGTTTAGAGCCAGCCAAGCCTTAATCTAAAGAATCTAATCCTTAGGTCTTCTATGACACCTGGTGCTACAAGACAGGGTGGCAAACTTGTATATGTCAAACAAAGTCCTCTGACGTTCCCATGTCACCTGGGTGGGGTGAAGACTTCCTTGCCTGTAGCATACCACGTGCCTGGTTTCTCCTTTGCATGTGACAGCAGGGACACAGAGCAGGCTAACTCTGGCTGATTTGCTTTGGAAGTGTGGCTCTCCCTGTGTTCCTGTTCCCAGAAGGTGTCAGGCAGCTGGATTTGCACTGTGCGTGTGTAGGGACAGGGTGTGGCTGGGGAAGAGTTCTTGCTTGCTCATGCTGTGAATCGTTTGTAATGGGGCAAGGAGAAGCGGGCGAGCCAGAGATGGATTTTGGAGCCGTTCCTGGGAGGTTGGCAGGAGAGAGGTGGCTGCTGAGTTTACAGTAGGGTTTTGCAGCGGCTGCTGCTGAGACGCAACATTCAGCTTAACCTCCTCATTCAAAGGGCGTTTCAGCACAGGCTTGGCTTCCAGGAAGTGTGCTGTGGGGTTTGTCTTCCTCCGGGCGGGTGGGTGCAGCCAGCCCCGGGGCTGCAGCTGCAGAAAACCTCTGTCCTTAGCCAGCTCCACTGGTGGGACCCCTCAGCGGGGCAGGGGTGGTCTTTGCTTGTTTACTCCTTCCCGTAACACACGAACCAGGGGTCACCAATTAAATTAACAGGCATAAATTAAAACAAACATAAGGAAGCATTTCTTCACACAACGCACAGTCCACCTGTGGAACTGCCTGCCAGAGGATGTTGTGAAGGCCAAGACTATAACTGGGTTCAGAAAAGAACTAGATACATTCATGGGTGATAGGTCCATCAATGGCTGTTAGCCAGGATGGGCAGGGATACAACCCCAAGCTCTGGGTGTTCCTAGGCTTCTGGCTGCCAGAAGCTGGGACTGGATGATGGGATGGATCACTTGCTGATTGCCTGTTCTGGTCATTCCCTCTGCAGCATCTGGCACTGGCCACTCATCAGGATACTGGGCTAGATGGACCATTGGTCTGACCCAGTCTGGCCGCTCTTATGTTCTTGGCACTTGGAGGATTCTACTCCTGGTTCCGCCACTGATTCCATGTGACCTTGGGTGTGTCGCTTCCCCTCTCAGTGCCTCAGTTTCTCCATTTGGGAAGTGAGAATAGCGACTGACCCGCCTACTGGGAAAGTGCGTTGCTGGAGTGGTTGGCACTGCAGAGGGGAAGGAATGCTGCCAGGCCCATCAGGACTTAGGGCTCTTCTTCTGGTCACTGACAACATGACAACTGCCCGGGGACAGACTTGGGACGACTGAGCCAGAGAGTATCCATTTAACTTATGGGTTTTAAACAAGCGTTTGGATCAACTGGAGAGCCGGGTCTCATGGGCCATATCTGCCTCCTCCTCTCAGTCCTGGCTGGGGGTCTCTGCTTGGCCCCCCTCACTCGTTCCTGTGACAGCAGGGCTGCCGAGGGCTTCCAGGGCTGCCGCAGGGTCAGTGGCACCTGAGCCCTGTAGGCACAAGGTGTGGGGCAGAACGGAGACCCACCAAGACTACAGCCTACCCTATGCCTGCAAGGACAGGCATCGCCAGCCGTGCAGGGAGCCCACTGCAGCCCCACCATCACAGCCCCACTCACTCACTCCTGTGACTGGAGCTGCCGAGGGTCCCCGGGGCTGCCCCAGGAGCTGTACAGCAGCAGGGGGGCCTCCCCTGCGGCCAGGAGCTCATCCTCCCCCTCCTCACAGTCTGGGGGTCTGCTCTATTATGTGAACCCAGCTCATCAGAATCCCTTTCTTGTCTGGCTACCTGGGGCACAGGGCAGGGATTCGGCTGATGCCGAGCCCTGGCGTACAGGGTTTTGGGTAGATGGATGGTGTGGGCTGGTGGTTACCGGTGAAGGAGAACACGTAATTCAGCTCTAGTTTCCAGCCCCTTACACTGGCTTCTCTGGGACTTTCTAGCTCAGGCTCTGTTAACTAGCCTCAGTTTGGTTTTCCCAGAGACACGGTGAAGCCTCGTGCAAGGCGGGGGTTGGACTAGGGCCCACCAGTGCTGTGGGCCCAGCTTCCAGGGAGGCACCTCGGGGAGCCCCGAGAAGCGTCACAAGGGGTGACCCAGGGGCTGCGGGATCCTGCTGTGGTCCCTGAGCCACAGAAGTTAAACTGACTAGGAGCAGGAGGGAAGTGCCCAAAGCAGCCTGCCTGGATGGAGAAACATCATTAGCTTCAGCTCTAACGAGCGGAAGGGCTGCTAGGCGCTATCAGTGTGGTAGCTGAGTGCCTCAGATCTCGGATGTGTTCCTCCTCACACGCCTGCAGGCCGGGCTGTTCTCCAGCAGAGACCCAGGGAGAATAAAGGCCTTGTTCGGGGACATGCAGGGAGCCTCTGGCGGAGCTGGGAGTTGGGCCCAGAGCTCCCAAGCGGCGGGCGAGCGCTCTGACCCCTGGGCCGGCCGTACCCTGTGGGTCCCCGTTCACAGGTCTTGGGACCCATGATGGCTGAGCTGGGTGCACAGAAAGGGGTTTATTAACAGCTGTTTGTGTGTTCCCCAGGGTTCCGGGGTTGTCAAGGCTGGCTTTGCTGGTGACCAGATCCCGAAATACTGCTTCCCGAACTAGTGAGTATCTCCGCCCGGACGGGGGTTCTGCTGGCAGCATCTGGCCATTATCCCCGCGCCAGGCGAGTGATCCACGGCGGGGTCACACCACAGACTCCAGCAAAGGCAGCGGGAGCAGCATCAGGCCCTAAAACCTGGGGGGTGGGGCGTCCTAGCCCCTCCCTCGAGAGCTGAGTGGGGATCTCCGCGGACGGATGTGTCAGCAGAGCTATGGCTGTGCCCCTAGTCGGGCTCTCAGCACTTCCCCCCGATGCCTTTGCTTGTCTGCCGCCCAGCGCGGGGCTGTGTCGGAAAGAGCTGGTGTGTTACGGTGTGTCGTCTCCACCAGCATCCTGAGCTGGGCCTCCTGGGATTCTCGCCCAGGCTGGGTCAGATCAGGGCCCCTGTGAGGGGAGCCGCCTGCCGCCCTGCCCTCGGCTTCCTGGCCCAGAACTCTGTGTGGGCCACTTCTGGCCACGCCCTGCCAGCGGGGGGCTGTGCCCAGAACCGGGGTGTGGTGCGGGAGGGACATGCAGTGCCCCCCAGGCCGTCTGCGGGGGCGGTGCTGGAGCAGAGCCAGGACGTGTTAGGCTTTGTCTGCAGTTGTCCAGCCCCTCTCCGCCTCTGGGAACCTGACACATCTCACGCACCAAGCCTGAGGTCTCCCCATTGCAACTAAATGCTGGAAACGTCCCTTGCCAGGCTCTGCTCCCATGGAGGGGACTAGCCGCTCCGGGGCCGAGGGGTATCGCAGTCTCTGCACAGCTCTGGCCTTGTTCAGGGCCCCAGGGGCCTGCTGGGCTCCCTCACCCCAGGCAGGATCAGAGCTCCCCCAGAAGGGGCGCGCCTGCAGGGTGGCTCAGGAGGGCTGGGCTGGCCCCAAGGGCCAGGCCTGCTTGGGTGCCTGTGAGCCGGTGTCATCCCTGGGATGCTGATCCTGCTCTTTGCTGCTCCCCCTGTCTGACACTGGCAAGACACCAGCCACCCCCGCCTAGGCCGGGGCTCGTCTGTTTCACCCCCTCCCCTGCCCCACCCTGGCTGATCTGCTCCCCAGAGTTGGGGGTGGGGTCTGTTGGCTCCTTGACTTCTCTGGCCCCACAAGTGCAACAGCGAGGCCCATCTCCTCCCCTTGGGGCGGGTGGGGGCGGGGGTGGGTAGATGGGGACCATGTGAGCTGCAGCCCCACTAACTGGTTCTCTCTCTCTCGCCAGTGTGGGGCGCCCAAAGCACGTCCGGGTCATGGCGGGGGCGCTGGAGGGGGATCTCTTCATCGGCCCCAAAGCAGAGGTAAATGTGCAGCCCAGCCCCTTCCGGGCTCTCAGCTTCCCCCCCCGCCCCCCCGGCTTCAGACACAGGTTGAACAGGCAGGGGGCATCTCCAGCTGGCAGCTGCTGGGGTCAAAGGTTCCAGTTCCCCAAGCACACGCAGCAGTCTACAGCGGCCAGGTGCATTGTGGGAGCTGTGCAGACAGTGTGTCCCATTGGGCTCACCCTGGCCAGCCTGCCTTCCCCTGCGGCCTGAACCCGGGGGTGCTGCCCGGCCTGGAGAGTGACTCCGGTGGGTTTGTCTTCCAGGACACCCACACCCGGCCTCACCACCCACGCCAGACTGGGACAGGGCTTGTGTCCCTTAGCGGGAGTGCGGTGGTGGCTCAGCGTCAGTGCCGACCCCAGGGCAGCACTAGGGGGTGCTGTGCTGCTGGGGGGCTCAGTGGGGCGCTCTCCCCTCAGTCAGGGCTGGCCCCGGTGCCCCAGGGCAGCACTCGGGGGTGCTGTGCTGGCGGGGGGCTCAGTGGGGCGCTCTCCCCTCAGTCAGGGCTGGCCCCGATGCCCAAGGGCAGCACTCAGGGGTGCTGTGCTGCTGGGGGGCTCAGTGGGGCGCTCTCCCCTCAGTCAGGGCTGGCCCCGGTGCCCCAGGGCAGCACTCGGGGGTGCTGTGCTGCTGGGGGGCTCAGTGGGGCGCTCTCCCCTCAGTCGGGGCTGGCCCCGATGCCCCAGGGTGGCACTAGGGGGCGCTGTGCTGCCGGGGAGGCCTCTGCCTTGGCATCCCGCTTCAGGTGTGTCGTGACCCGGGTCTGCTCGCTCCCTCTGCCGGCAGGAGCACCGGGGCCTGCTGTCCATCCGCTACCCCATGGAGCACGGCATCGTCCGGGACTGGAACGACATGGAGAGGATCTGGCAGTACGTGTACTCCAAAGACCAGCTGCAGACCTTCTCCGAGGAGGTAACGGGCTGCGGGATGGCCAGATCCCCAGGGGGTGTCTCCCCATCACGTGTCTTGCTGGCAGCCCAGGGCTGAGTCTCTGGGGTGGACGCAGCTGGGGCGGCTGCGTCTGGGCTGAGGCTAGACATGAGACCTGTCCCAGCCGGGGCTGGGCAGGGACTGTCCCCGGGATCTGAGCTGAACCCCAGTGGGGTGCTGGGGGGCATGGGGCCATCCACCCTACACAGTCCCCTTAGTGTGAGCCTCGTGCTGGACTCCCCGCCCCGGAGTGAGCACGACCCAGTTGGCACCCGGCCCAGCTTCCCTGCCATTGTCCCCCAGCCCTGGAGGGGCCTAGCTCTCTCCCCACACCCCCTCAAGTTCAGTCTCTCCCCTCTGTCCTTTGCCCGGCTGCCTGGATCAATGGCCAGGGCTACCTAGTGCAATGGGGGGTGGCGACTTGGACACCTGGGCTGAGACCCCCCCCAGCTCGCATCACCCAGGCACTGAGTGACTGTGGGGAGATGAATTCAGCCCCCACGTCTGGGCTTGAGTTGGCAACCTGCAGGAGAGCGGCTCCGGCCCCCTGCTGACCTGGGCTCACTCTGCCAGGTGGGTCCCCAGCTGCACCTGGTCCCAGACTCCGGAGCATTGGCACCCCCTGCCCAGGCCTGGCCATGAGGCGGTTCCCTGGGCAGCAGGGAAGGTGGGGGGGTGGCTGTGGACCAAGCCTGGGGGTGACTCCTGTCCCACTGCCCCCCAGCACCCGGTTCTCCTGACGGAAGCCCCCCTAAACCCCTGCAAGAACCGCGAGAAGGCGGCTGAGGTTTTCTTCGAGACCTTCAACGTTCCAGCGCTTTTCATCTCCATGCAGGCCGTCCTCAGCCTGTGAGTACCGGGCCCTGCCCCCCTGCAGCACTTGGGGAGCCCTCGGGAACACCCTCACAGGCAGTGCCGGCCCCCACCCTCTAGTGGGCAGAGCTGGGTCCTGACCTGGTGATGGGGGTGCTGGGCGGCAGGGAGCAGGGCGTGTGCCCTGCCGGATGGTTTGGAAGCAGCCCCGGATTGCTTGTGATTGGCCCAGAATCCGCAGCGTCTTGGGACCGACCCTCTGCCGCGGCAGTTAATCCGGGCTCCTGAACGGCCTGCCAGCGCCGCGTGGCTGGGTGCTGCTCGGTAGTTGCTCCGTCGCTCCCCAGAGGTGGCTGCCCCTTGGTGGGGGGGTGAAGCCGGGCCTCGCCGGGCCTGTGCTGTCTCGGCGCTCTCGGGCTGCAAGGGGCGATCTGACGTACGCCACCGTGCCGGGCGCTTTCTGGGGATCGCCAAGCGCCGGCGGGGCCGAGCTCACGGGCTCCTGGTGTCTCCCTCTGCTCCAGCTACGCCACCGGCCGCACGACGGGGGTGGTGCTGGACGCGGGGGACGGCGTCACGCACGCGGTGCCCATCTACGAGGGCTTCGCCATGCCGCACTCCATCATGCGGGTGGACGTGGCCGGGCGGGACGTCTCGCGCTACCTCCGCCTGCTGCTGCGCAAGGAGGGCTACGACTTCCACACCTCGGCCGAGTTCGAGGTGGTCAAGATGATAAAGGAGGTACGGGGGGAGCCAGGGAGCTGCCCTGGGGCTGGGCCTCGCTGCAGGATCGCCCTGGGCCAGGGCCGGGGATGCGCTGCTCTCCATCTCGCTCTCCGTGCTGAGCGCCGCCGGGTGGCCGGAGGGCTAGCCCAGTGCTGGAGCTTTCAGACCTGCCCTGCTGGGGGTCCTGGGGCAAGACCCTGCCCGTCTGTGCCCCAGTCGTGACACGGAGGCTGGGGTTCCTGCCGGCTCAGGCTCTGAGCCTCATGGCTGGGGCGGGGAGGGGGGCAGGGAAGTCTTGGACCGGCCGCTCACCTGCTCTCGCCCGGCACAGCGGGCCTGCTACCTGTCCATTAACCCCCAGAAGGACGAGGCGCTGGAGACGGAGAAGGTGCACTATAGCCTGCCAGACGGGAGCACGCTGGAGGTAAGTGTCGGGAGATCTCTGTGCCCTGGTGGCTCCGGTCGCTGGCTGGCCAGGAGCTCCCCTTGCCTGGGGCTGGGTTCGGTGGATTGTGTGTGGGGCCTGCGGGAGCCGGGCCTGGCTTGGCAGCTGGGGCTAGGCGGTGTGGTGTCCTGGGCACGCGGTGCTCCGTGTCTCAGGGAGCAGAGCTTCTCCCTGGGGGCTGGCTCCATGGATCCTGGGGCAGCCAAGGCAGAGATGTAGGAGCCGGTGAGAGCTCAGAGAGCGGGGCCCCATTACCCTGCGGCGCGGGACTAACGTTGCTCTCTGGCAGGTGGGCCCGGCCCGCTTCCGAGCCCCTGAGCTGCTCTTCCAGCCAGACCTGGTGGGGGACGAGAGTGAAGGGATCCATGAGGTCCTGGCCTTTGCCATCCAGAAATCCGACCTGGACCTGCGGCGGACACTCTTCGCCAACATCGTGCTGTCCGGCGGCTCCACGCTCTTCAAAGGTATGGCCTCGGCGCCCTGCCCTCTCTGCGTGGGGCCAAGCCGGGCTCTCCCTCCCCCGGCCCAGACAGCATGGCGCCCGGGGGCTGGTCACGGCCCGTGGCCTGGCCAGCCTGGCGCCTTGGCCATCAGTGGCAGGGGTCCCCTGACCCTCTCGGTCCTCCAAGGCAGGGGGGCAATTCCTTCCTGACCCTCGGGCTGAGCCTCTGCCGATGGCGCTCCCCCGCTGCCCCTGCTGTAATTGGAGGGTTTTGGGGCGAGGCCCCTGCTTCGGGATTGGGGGGGCGCTGTGGATCCTCTGCCCCGCTGAGGGATTTTGATGGGGGTGGGGGCCTCCCAGAGCATCCAGCAGGGCTGAGAAGGATCCGTTCGGCACGTCTAGTGAGCGACTGGCTCCAACTCTCCTGACCCTTTGGCTAGGGACAGCGCAGCCAGGAGGGTGGGGTCTCTGATGACCTCACAAGCTCTGCCCCATGGAGGCAGGATGTCATCAGGGCCCCCCGGGAAGCGTCCCCCCTGCTCCCCTGTGAGCTCAGATAGCATGGTGGGAGGGCCCCGACACCCCCTGCCTTTCCCAGCAGTGATGATCCCTCAGTCCCTAGGGGAGGCAGGGAACCCCTCAGCATCCAGAGGGGGAAACTGAGTCATGTGCTCCCCCAGGTCAGGACCCAGCTCTGCCCACTAGAGGGCACTCTCACCTCAGCTTGGGACTCCCTGAGCTTGTGCCCGCGACTGGCCACGCAATGGTCCGGCCGCGCCCCTCCTCCCATAGTGCCTGGCGCTCCCGGGTGGAATCTGTCAAGGCCCCTTACCCTGCCCGGGGTCTCTGCACACTGGGGTGGCGCTGGCCGGTTTGGAGCTGGGCTCTCATCAAGCGCTGGGCAATCGGCGTGGAAAGCGGGTGGGCCAGCTGGCTCCTCGGGGTAGCCTTTGCTGGGCAGCATGGCCTAGTGCTGACTGCTGAGCAGAGCGCTCAGCCCCCATTCCAGGCGGACACACAGCTCAGCTCCTGGGGGTGGGGAGCCCCCTCCTGCCCCCAGACCCGGCCTGTGTTCCGGGAGCCTCACCCCTAGGGCCCAGCTGTGCAGCCCTGGGGCGAGGCCGAGAACGGGGTAATTCCCTGTGGGAGGCAGCAGGAGGCGTAACACTCGCCAGCCCCCCCGCAGCTGCCTGGTTCCTCGTCCCTGGGGAGGCCGGGTTGGTACCTGAAGCCAGGGGCTGCCATGCCGCTCCCCCAGGGCCATAGGGTGGCGCCCTAGCGCCCAGCTTTCCAGCTGCTGCATGGGGACCCCTGTGGGGTGGGGGCAGGTTGGGGGCTCTCTCTGAGGCAGCTGGGTTCACGCCCGTGTTCCCCCTTCAGGGTTTGGGGACCGGCTGCTCAGCGAGGTGAAGAAACTCGCCCCAAAAGATGTCAAAATTAAGGTGAGGATTGGCAATGCCCAGGGGCCCCCCCAGCACCCCTTTCCCCTGAGATCCCCTCCCTCATGCCCAGCCCCTCCTGCTGTGATTACCCTGGCACCGCTGCTTCCCCCAGGGCACAAAGCTACGGTGTGCATGGCGCAAACTGCCCTGGGTCCAACCCCCTGCCTGCTCCACAGCCTGGGACCCTCCTGCCTGGGCCAGTCCTGCCCCCTGGGCACAGCTCATTGCTGCTCTCCCGGCTCCCTACACGTCCCCGAGCGACTTCAGCCTCCTGGGCCATGCTGGGAACTCTCCTGAGGCGCTGCCCCCTGGATCTGGGGGGAGGGAGGGGGCTTCGAGGGAATCCCCCCGTGATCAGGGTGGGCCCAAGGATGGGGTGCCCTGGTAGGGCTGTGTGATGGGGGGTGTGCACAGCAGGGCAGACCTGTCAGCTGGACGCTGAGCCCCATTCCTGGGGGGGGCTGTTGCAGGCTGGGCTCCGGGCTGACCCTCTGCTTCCTTCCAGATCTCTGCCCCGCAGGAGCGGCTGTACTCCACGTGGATCGGGTGAGTGGCTGCCCCAGGGCCTGGCCCCCTGCTCTGGGGCCCGCCCCACCCACTGAGGGAAGGGGAGACTTCTCCAGTGCCGCTGCGGGAGGGGCCCCTGGCGTGGGTGCCCTCTGCGTGGCCCAGGGACCAGGAGAAGCCCTGACTGGGGGAGGGAGCCGTGCTGGGCCCAGGGCAGACTTGCTCTGTCCAGAGTGGGGGGGGGCAAGCCCCTCTGCCCCCTGTGGGTCGGGGGCTGGTTGGGCCCTGTCCCCGCAGGGCTGGGGGGGGGCGGGGGCATGTGCCTCCAGCCCCTGGTGACTCTGGCTCTCCCCTGCAGCGGCTCCATCCTGGCCTCGCTGGACACCTTCAAGAAGATGTGGGTGTCCAAGAAGGAGTACGAGGAGGACGGGGCACGGGCCATCCACCGCAAGACGTTCTAGGGTGCGGGGCCAGCGGGCAGCTGGTGGGTGGGGGCGTGTCCTCCCGTTACCCCTTTCCAATCCAGGGCTGCTAGCACCAGCCCCGCTCCCGGGGCCTCGTCAGCCCCCTCGCTCCCCCCTTCAGCTGGACCCCTCCGAGCCGCTCATCTATGCGCACACGGCCCCCAGGGCCTTGATCCCTGCTGCCCTGGCCGCACCTGCACCTGTGGGGAGGCTGGCAGCCTCAGCCCTCGACCCCTTGGGGCCTTCAGAGCCCCTGTGGCCGGGGGCTTTGTGTGATGGGGCCAGAGTGCCCTAGCCTGCTTAGTGATCGTTGGAAGCCCAGCCAGGGCATCTGGGGGCAGCGACCCCATGGGAGCTGGGCTTCGGCCTGAGGGTAGATGGGGCTCCTAGTTCTAGCCCTAGGAGAGCCTGCTGGGGCACATGGATCCAGCACCCCCTGGCTGCCCTCAGCCCCTGCTGCTGAGGAGGGGTGGGAGCCACCCCCAGAGGCCTGGAGCAAAGCCCTGGTGCCACAAGGATGGGTGGGCTCGGCCCACCCTGTTCCGGGCCGTGCTGGGGCCAAGCTCCTTCCAATGGGGGCAGATTCCTCCCGCTGTGGAGGCGAGCTGGGGTGCGGCTGGCTCTGGCCCAGGCAGGGCTGTGGCTGCCGGCCCCGGCTGCAGCCTTGGAGTCACAGCCCCTAGCTCGCCAGAGCCGTGTGATCAAAGCCTGGAGAGCAGCCGCCTCGTGGTGCTACACTAGCCCCCGGCATTAGCCACACCACAGCCGCTGGTAGCCATGGCCCCTTGCCTTGTGCCTGGAGGGGGTCTCTGGGGCCCTGGGGGCAGGGCAGTGGCGTGCCTGGCCCTGTGGGGCAAGTACCAACCCTGGATTGGAAAGGGGTGAACCCCTGAACTTTTCCTAAAGGGCAGCAACTCAATCACCTGCCCCAGTGCGAGGTGAGGGGCTGTGGGGCGCCTGGCGGGGCAGAGCTCAGCTCTCTTGCCCCGGGCTAGTGGCCTGTGTCTGGATCTCAGCTTCTCCCGGTACCTCCCTGCTGAGCGGCTGCTGGTGCCCCGGACCCCCTGGAGGCCCCTGCCCACGCCCGGCTGCAATGTACAAAACTGAACACAGTTGCCTGTATTTTTTTTTGTAAATTCATTATAGTAATAATTATAAATTAACCCCTCGTGCCCTGTGTCTGTCCTAGAGCCCCTCCTCCCAGCTCAGCGGGGGAAGTAAGAGGAGCTGGTTTGGCTGGAGATGGGTCTTGTTCACGGGCTCAAGGGGGGCTGGATGAAGGAGTAGCCCTGGGGGCTTGTGGTTCTAGGGCCCAGCTGTGCCTGGCCCGGAGCACAGCCTTACACCCAGCTCCCCTGCCCCTGCCCCTGCCCCCGGCAGCAGGTGGGGCTACGTGCCCCTGCCCCTGCCCCTGGCCTCGGCAGCAGGTGGGGCTACGTGCCCCTGCCCCTGCCCCTGGCCTCGGCAGCAGGTGGGGCTACGTGCCCCTGCCCCTGCCCCTGGCCTCGGCAGCAGGTGGGGCTACGTGCCCCTGCCCCTGCCCTCGGCAGCAGGTGGGGCTACGTGCCCCTGCCCCTGCCCCCAGCAGGGCTGTGCTGAGCAGCAGAGGGGGAAGGGGGGATTGCTATGCCTGACTGACTGGGGACAGGGTGCACAAAATGTCCCCATTCTGCATCCCCAGGGGAGTGTCAAAGTTGCCACACGAGGGCAACCGCCTCTTGGGTTGCTGAGCCAAGCTCTGGGTGGGTGAAGGTCTCTGGGGTCCAAGCAGCTGCTGCCAAGTGGGGGGCCCCCCCCAAGCTCTGGGGTGAGGGGCTGCTGCTTGCATGGGCCTAGGTTCTGTGCTCACCTGTGCCCAGGGCACACTACCCTGAGCGACACGCTGCATCCGTGCTGGGCCCAGTGGGTAGCTATACCTAGCCCTGCTCGAGGCGCTGGAGAGCCATGGGGGGCCTAAGAAGGGCCCAGCAGTACTCCCCTCAGCCACACACACCCCTCCCCACTGCTGCAGGGGGCTGGGCACAGTGGCTGCCCCCGGCTGTAAGCAGGGCGGTCTGAAGAGGAAGGCTGTGCCCGGGGGGCAGGGGCTGCTCTTAGAGCAGGGGCTCTGCTGGAGGCTACACACAAGGTGTCAAGCCAAAGCAGGGCTGGGGTCTCCTCTCTCAAGCACCCACTGGGGCCAAGCTCCCTGCCTCTGGGAGCCCATCTCCAGGGGGCAGAAACGGGTGTAGTGGGTTGGGTGCAAACTCTGGCATGGGGCTTTGTGAACACCAGGCTCTGGGCACATGCCTGAGCCTACTTCCTGCCCTCAGCCCAGGAAACCACCTAGCTCCTACTGCAGGGCCTGGGACAGCTCCACTCACCCTGGCAGGGATTGGCAGCCTGGCATCTCCCCTACAATTCTCTCCAGCCCGGGCCAGCTGCACTGTGGCCCTTGCTGGCTCTTCCCCCTGCTGAGCGACACCACCCAGGGCTCCCCAGGGCACACGGCAAGAGCCTCACTTTACCCTCTGGCAGAGCCATGAGTGAATGCAGCTGGGGGGGAGTGCCCCACTGAGGCCAGCACAGGAGATGCCCCGCTGCAGGTCAGAGGGAGGTTGCTGGGGAGAGTTGCACCAGTGGGCCCCTCCAGCCAGTGCCCAGCGTAGCAGCAGGCTGGCCTGGACACTGGGGCTAAGGAAGCAGGCCAGACATGGGTAGAGGCAACGCCTTTAACACACCAACTCTTTATTGGCTCCAAGAAGCAACATGACATTGTAAAGCAGCAAGCAGCTCGGCCTGGGGTCCCACAGAGCAGAGACAAGAGGGTCCCACGGGGGTCAGGGCACCCTCTCAGTGCGGCAGATGGTGGGGGACCAGCTTGTAATGGGCACCGCAAGAGGGGCAGCGCTGGGGCTCCCCCTTGTGCAGCCAGAACCAGATCACGCAGCTGTTGTCCTCTTCACCTGGGCAGGGAGAAGGGGGTTAGACAGTCTGAGGTCACCGGGGTGGAGTGCGGGGCTGTTAATCAGCAGGCCGGATGGGGGCTGACAGCAGCCGCTAATCAGGGAGATGGGCTCCCCCACAGCAGTGCAGCGTGCCCTCCTGGCACACTCTGCTCCAGGCCCCGAGCCAGGCCGCCACGCTCAGGTGTCAGGAACAGGACCCAGGCATCCTGGCTTTTACTCCCTCCCCTCAGGCCAGGAAACACCGACTCCAGCTGGCCCAGCTCCCACAGCTCTGGGGCCAGGCTGGAACCCCCAGGCTGCTCAGAGGCCCAGCCATTGGCCCTGGAAACCAGAGTGAAGCCTTGTCCAAACCCAGCAGCCAGCTCCCCACTTCCCCTGCAGCACCGCAGCGCCAGGCCCTCCTGCCACACAGGGTGCCCTGAAGAAAGCAGTTCACTGGTCAGCCCAGAGCCTCTGTCCCCCCCGCCTTGGATGACGCGTCACTCACAGATGCAGCCCACGATCCTCTTGCTGGAGATGGAGGGGACCAGGTTGGGATCCTCCTTGGTCCCAGCATAGCGCTTTGGTTGGAGGATGTTGTAGGGATCCTGCAGGGAGCGCAGGACCATCAGCCAGGGAGTGAGAGAGGCAGTCTGCTGTTGCACCTGCCTCTGCCCCAGACCCAAGCTTTGACTGGGCCACCAGCCCACATCCCCCAGCACCGCGCCCTGGCTCTGCTCCCACGCCCAGGAGCGGCACCGCCAGCCCAACTCGGGAAGCTGGTCCCATGCCACGCGGCACCGCACGGTGCTACCCCAGGGACATGGGTGGCAGAGGAGCTCCTGCTTAGCTCAGCTTGTGTCATTCTAAAACCAGGATCCCCTCATGGCCTAACCCCAGCCCTGCACCCCCAAACTCCACCAAACGCTGTCAGTGATTTAACCTGCCTGTCGCACAGTGAGACTGGCCGCCCGCCCCCCTGCCTGGAGGTAAGGAGCACCATGGGGGGAGGAAGAGGATGGTGCAGTGGTTCACCGGCTTGGTAACAGTGGATGAAGGAAGCTGGGTTAGAGAAGAGGCTGACTATGGCGTATCGGTGGGAAGGTACTGGGATTAGGAGACCCATTTCAGGGTAGCTCTGCTCACCTGTCCCTTTTCCATGGCCTGCATGACTTTCCTCTCCAGCCCTGTCGCTTGCTCTTCGTCGCTGGGGATACCTGGGCAACGGGGATAAAGACAACAGCAGAGCGTGATGACCCTCTTGTCATGGACAGGATCCCTCCCACCCCACAAGCAGGTCTCCACGCACACCTCTGTGCTGCTTGGGAGGTGTTGTCCCAGGGCAGGAGACCATCGGGCAGGAGCAGAGGGCAACCATCCCATAGCTGGGACCCTCCTTCCAGGCGTGTCACTGTCTCCTCTCACACTGAGGAGACCCCCAGTTATTCGAAAGAGACAGGTAATAAATAGCAACAAGGGATTTGATCATTAGAAATCTAGCTGGGTTATGATGACCGGGAGCATCGCAGCGGGACTTGCCTGCCAGGTGCAAAGGGTGCAGCTCTCTCAAGACATTGAGACAGGCCTATGTGCAGTGCTGGGGAGTAGACAGTGGTTGTGGTACATGTAGGTACCAGTGACATAGGAGAAGGCTCTACTCAAGATAGTTAAGTCCCAGGCAGACTGAGAAGAGCTACACAAGGATCTCTCAAAACCAGGTGACTGGGCAACAAAATGGCAGATGAAATTCAATGTTGATAAATGCAAAGTAATGCACATTGGAAAACATCATCCCAACTCTACATACAAAATGATGGGGTCTAAATTAGCTGTTACTGCTCAAGAAAGATCTTGGAGTCACTGTGGATAGTTCTTTGAAAACAGCCAATCAATGTGCAGCAGCCATCAAAAAAAAGCTAACAATGTTATTCCAAAAAGAAAAGGAGTACTTGTGGCACCTTAGGGACTAACCAATTTATTTCAGCATTAGCTTTCGTGAGCTACAGCTCACTTCATTGGATGCATCAAATGGAACATATAGTAAAAAAAAATATACACGCACACATATACATACACACAGAGAACATGCAAAGGTGGAGTAAGGCTAATTGAGAAAAAAAACTTGTAGTGATGATCAAGGTGGCCCATACAGACAGTTGGCAAGAAGGTGGGAGGACACTTAACATGGGGAAATAGATTCAATGTGTGTAATGAATCGCCCCATCTCAAAAAAAGATGCACTGGAACTGGAAAAGGTACAGAGAATGAAAACAAAAATTAGGGGTATGGAAGTTTCCGTATGAGGAGAGATTAAGAAGACTGGGACTTGGAGAAGAGTGGATTGAGCGGGGGATATGATAGAGGGCTATAAAATCCTGACTGGGGAGGAGAAAGTGACTAGGGAAATGTCATTTCCCCCTTCACCTAACACAAGAACCAGGTGTCACCCAGGCTGTGGCTACACCACAGAGCTCCCAGCGGCGGCTATGCCGCGGTCATGGCTGGTGCAGACCCTCTAAGACGACGGGCAGCAGCAGCAGCTGTGTCGGCTGGAGACGCTCTCCTGCCAACGCAGCGCTGGGCGCACCCGCCGCCATGCAGGTCCGTGTAAATTAGCAACAAAATTTCTACCAGCGCAGACTGCAGTGCGTACAGAGCCCCAGATAAATTAAGAGGCAGCAGATTTAAAACAAATCTGCTGGAAGTATTTCTTCACCCAACGCACAGTCAACCCGTGGAACTCCTTGCCTGGGGATGTTGTTGTGAAGGCCAGAAGTATCACAGGGTTAAAGAAAAGGTTGGAGAAGTTCACGGAGGACAGGTCCCCCGATGGGGATTAGCCAGGATGGGCAGGGACACAGCCCCCTGCCCTGGGTGTCCCTAAACCTCCGAGAGCCAGAAGCTGGAGCGGAAGTTGCCCCGTTCATTCCCTCTGAAGCGCCGGGCCCAGGCCGCTGCCGGCGGACAGGACACCGGGCTGGACGGACCTTTGGGCTGAGCCGGTCTGGCACCAGGACCCTTGTCCGGACCCCCGCCCTGGACACCCGGGAACGGCCTCACCGTCAGGAGCCAAACGGCGCATCGACCCAGGGGAGCGGGGTAGAGATCGGCACTGCCACGTGCGCCCCCCCTGCGGGCCCCTCCCCCGCCTCCCTCCGGGCCCCCCGCTCCCAGCCTCCCGCCGGGCCCCCCGCTCCCAGCGGGCCCCTCCCCCGCCTCCCTCCGGGCCCCCGCTC